GAAACCTGCACCAAAAAAATTCCGTTATTAATTATTAACTTATCGTGGCTTATTTTATTCACATATATATTACCATAATCTTCTTGAGTTGATTCCTTCTCACAAGATCCCCTCTAAGACAGCTATTTGTGGTAAGGAACAAGTAACAATGAATACGTAGACATTGAGGTAGATACATCCACTTTTTCATTTCTGTTTCTCCTTCTCTTAAATCATTGATTCTCCCAATCAGGCTTCCGCTTTCATACTATGTTTTTTTTTGAATCTTGAAAATGAGATTGGAGTTATCGCATCAGCATTGATTTGCGTTGTTATAAGATCATGTGGTGAAAAATAATGACGGGGGTAGTATATGTCTCGCTGTGTCAGAAAAAAGAGCGGAGATGAAGATGATGGCTCGCCATCTTTGTGTGGTGGTGAAGAATAATGACAGTGGTCCAAGTGAATGTGTATCGGTATGTCTGAAAAAAGGAAGAAGTGAAGAAGATGGACTCGCCTTCTATACTATATTCTGCAAACGGAAGCTATAGAAAAAAGAGTGGAGATGAAGATGATGGGTCCCCATCTCGCTGTGGTAGTGAAGAATAATGACAGTGGTTCAAGTGAATGTGAAAAAAAGGAGGAAGTTGAGAAGATGAACTCGCAGTCTATAATATATTCTGTGAAAGGAAATTATAGTATAGGATACCATACTAATTTAGATATAGTCTTCTATTCTTACGTATATATATAGACAATTCCATAAATGGAATAATCTGAATGCCTTTAAATTTAATCCTTCACTTTTTTGCTAATTTTTGTGATTGTAACATGAATTTTTTTTTTTTTTTTTATATTGGACAAATGTTTGGATCATGTTTAGTTCATGGATATCTTTTTCATTAACAAAAAATTTTATTTTTTCTCATACTATTTTACATTTGATGTTCAAATTTATTAAATAGCGTATGTGAAATATATCTTATATTATGTACTATTTGTAGAGGTCTATACTATTTTCTTGGACAATGAAAATAACATCATCAAGATCGTCTCCGTTGTTCTTCTTCGTCCAACATAAATAAACTAATTCCTATCAGAGATCGGTTTATCATAATTGAGCGCCTTGATTAGTTGAAAGCCGACGTCACTCAACGTCACCACTGCTTTCTCCTCCAGAAATTTGATTCGTTGACGCTCGATACATATTTATGCGGTGGTTTCTCCTTCTTTCATGTGGAATATATATCAAATTTATTTTTGGGTTTAGATTGGGATTTAGGGTTTAATATATAGAGGCTGGGTAATGTTTAGTATTAGGGATTGTGGGTGGGGTTATAATCCTATAATACTTCGGTCGTATGGAAATAAGACTCAGTATATGTATGTGGTCAATAAACGTGTGAGGTGGTGGATAGCTCCTCCTTATTTTCTGTGAAGTAGTTTTTAGGCACACTTGTCCATATATTACATGGATTATGTGGACACATAGAACATATCTTTACCAAGTAATGGAAAATGAGAAGGGAGTAATATTCGGATGAGTTAGGGTGTAAATGTTAGTTTATTAACTCTGTCAAATCAAAGTTATTTACTTAATTTTCACTTACAAGTTGGCTACTCAGAAGATAAGCCCAAAAATAAATGTTTAGAGAATTGTATATAGAGACAATATAAGAATATACATGACTTACTTAAACATATGTGAAAATTATAGACTTTTCATATAGCCAATCATAGACTTTTCAAGGCCACAAGCTCAAAACAAAACAAAAAATGGCTGAAAAAATTATGCACATTGGTGGATGTGAACCCAGCTTCCCATAGTGTTATATAATTCATTTGACCACTAGACCACATAGAAAGCACATTGGTGGACTCGAACCCAGCTTCCCATAGAGGTTTTAGGAAATTGTGGCCGCTTAAATACTTATCAAGTTGGCAGCTGGAAGCACATGCTTCATCTTCTTGGGCCATGACCGCCTCTAGGAGGAGAGAGGGTGGTATTTGTTGAATTTATCTAATTCATATTCATATATCGGATCGGATACATGTTCACTCGGTCGTGTACTAGATATGTTACCTTTCAGGAAGGCATGTGTTAGATATATTGTATGGCCTTCTTGCATTCTGACTTTTCCAGTGTATGAAATTGGAGCAGTGTATTTGATGCGGCACAATCATCTCTCATAGATTTCATTTACCATTCCTATGTTTAGTCACCTATCAGACTATCACATCACATGCAAACGTAGGAATATGTCGCATGGTCAGCTTTCTACAAAAAAAAAATTATTATAGGGTCTTATCCCGCTTGGATGCGTATATGGCCCTAACTCCGATATTTTCTGCCAAAATCGCAAACCGAGATTTCTCGCAGAAATTTCCTACCAAAATCGCAAACTAGAGATTACCTGCCAAAATCGAGGTTAAGCCAAAATCAAAAAAATGGAATTTTCCCGTAAAAATTGCAAAATTAAGTTTTTCAACAAAAATCACAAAATTGAACTTTCCGTCAAATTGAATTTTCCCGCCAATATCACAAAATCAAGTTTTTCCCGTTGAAATTGCAAAAATTGAGTTTCTCCCTGAAATCGTTAGAATCAAGTTTTCCCGGTAAGTTCACTGTTTAGTCAAAACCACAAAACAATTTTCCCGCCAAAATGATTAAACTAAAATTTCCCTCCAAATCTTATTTTCTTCTAAAACCACAAAACAAGTTCCAACCAAAATCACAGAATCTTGTTTTCCCGCCAAAATTATGCAAAACATATTGTGATATTTCTAATATGTAAACGACCTTTAAAGAAAATTTGAATTGTAACATGTTTACTGATATGGTCCTATATGGACTCCATGGCAGTCCGTGTTAACATGGGTGTTAGTGAATTTAGTCCTTAATGGACGCGGTACTTAATGGACATTGTCACTCTCTGTCCACAAACAATAAATGGACAAATGGATATGGGCTACTCTATCTTATAGCTCTATGTATGGTTGCTATATAAATCATGCAGCAATGCATCCAATATTACCAGACGTGTACGCTAGATCCATTAGTGGTCATGAATTTTAAAAGACCACAAGCTAACTGAGAATGGCATACTCATGATTCAAACTTAAGATTGCTGGATTAAGGGTGGGTGCAGAGAGAATACTACCATAATTTTTGGTATTTATGATTTGCTTTGTACTCTATGGATATCTAATTTCGGACTTGTTTTGCTTCGGAAAGAAAAACATAGATCCAGTTTTCTGGATATCCGGAAAATTTACAGATATTTTCAAATATTTACGGATATATTATACACTTTTTAATATAAGTAAATCTAGCAAAAATGTACACGTTTGTTTAAAAAAAATATATTCAATATTATAAAACAAAAAGTATAGATTAATGAAACTTTATGTTCCATAAATTTAATACTAGCTATTTTTATATAACATAAAATTTATAAAAAATGTATACCGTTATTATTTTAATATTTATAAGTAAGTTTATAAATAAATTTATTGAAATTATATGTTAAAATAATAAGTATACAAAACTATACATTTAAAATTCCATATTTAATTGTACATATATATATATATATATATATATAATTCAGAACGGATATCCGACTCTAATTTTTTTGTGATTTGCTTCATTTTTAACGGATATTGATTTTTATTTTTTGCTTTGCTTCGATGACTTACGAATATCCAGATTTTTTGAATTAAATCGATACAAATAATAAATAGAATCAAAATTAACGGATAAAATGTAACGCTCTAACTGAGATTACAGATAGATGACTTAAACCATCAGACTAAAGATATTTTTGGAAACATTTAGTCAAATTTAATTAATACTATTGAGGGCCGGAGACCATGCTTCCTTAGCTTCCCTTCAGAACCGAGTCTGGCTAGATCTAGTATCACGCTAATATCACATGTGTATGTTAGTGGTTAAGCACACTGATTGTGAATACATCAGTACATGGTCCCAACTCCCTTGTTCATAGGGGTTGGGTTTTATGTGTGGTTGCTGTATAAATCATGCAACAATGCATCCAATATTACCACATTTATATGCGAGTGGTTTAGCAGTGATTGATACTGTTATGTTTTTTGTTCGAGCCTTAGTAGAAGAATCATTTACGCCATGGTTTGGATATATGCAGTAGCAGATCTAGGAATAATTTTTATCCGTGCAAATTATAAAAACACTATTGAAACATATATTTTCATCTGGACCATTACTAGAACTCTATACAAATTACACTAACAAAAAATAATCATGGTGAGCAGGTTCCCCACCCATTCCCCACATAGCTTTGCCATTGGGTATATTGAAACGGTGTTTCCTAATCTAAGGAAAATTAAGGTCCAATGTTTAACTTCTGTTAATCTGAAAAAAAAAACAATGCAGCCAATATTTCATAAAATCATCACTCACCACTATATTCAAGAGACATATTTACAGTATTAGAATACATGTTAAAGAAAGATAATTTGTTTTTTTTTGAATGTTAGGAAATTCAGGGACGAAATTCCTAATTCCTCCAAACCCGAAACAACAACATGTAATTTCTCCAGGTCACTATTTATAAGATGATTGCTCGTTCGAAAAGAAACTTGTGTGGTCATACTCCTTTTATTTTTATGGTTTTCTCATTCAAGTTTTCAACAAAAATATTTCAAAACGATAATTACACTGAGAGATACCAATTTAAAGAAAATAAAAAAACTCAAAAAGATGCACATGAATACATCAGAAAAATTGTGGAGTCATTCATCATTATGCTCATACATTATGCTACTTTTTGTTTCTATATATAAGAACAATTTAGCGCACACTAAAAACATTTCATTTACAAATATAAATCTCACCTTTTTTCTTTCTAAATATATTTCTTTGGTGGATATACAATTTTCCAACTTTTTCTATTTATATAAATGATAAATTATATATTTATATATTAATATAAAAATATATATACTGATAATAATAGGAAGGCTATAGATACAACTCCCGTGAAACATGTAATTTGTTACACACGCATAGATTACCAATAAAGTGAAGAACATATATTACAAGTGACTGAGAAAATCTATAAAATAAATATGGTAAGAGAAAAGAATTATTACAAACAAATTTTCTTTAGTGAATAACGATTTATGTATAATTAACCAAGATAATTGGTCACCATAGACATGGGAACCAAACAAAGCCCTTTTTGCTTCAAGTCTGCTGATAATTCACCTTGGTTTTGCACCTATGTAGAATTACCATATGGTAAGTTTGTTAGTTATCGAAAATAATTTGCATTACATAGTATGATGGATCGACTCCACTTTAACTATTTTTCAAAAAAAAAAAAACTCTACTTTAACTATACAAAGTTCAATTATACTTAACGTGTTCTTACATTATTTGTCTTTTCACCAACTACGCCACCCCCCTGTCTTGTGTTGTTGTCAAATGAGTTCATCATGCTATAGACCTATGAAACGAAAACAATTCACAATTTGTTAGTAGTTGATATGGTTTAATTTTATGGACTAAATTAATCAAGGTACATTTGACTTGTTAAGCTGATTATTATATGCATCTATGTCAAATAGGAACTTAAAAATGGCACTGATTGTTTGATCAAATTATTGGATTATTATTTGTAAAATATTTCAATCATTAGTCAAAACCCATATTATAAAATTTTCTGTATCTCTTGGCGAATGAAAAATGTAATTTTTGCCTCTCATTGGTGTCTAACCTTATCAATGTCCTATAAAATATATGATCATCATAGGACTACAGTTTTTTTTTTTTGCGAAACTAGCATAGAACTAATAGGTTATAAATGTAATATAACCAGTGTCGTCTTAAACTATCTTTAGGCATTGTTCAAAAAATATTAAAAGTATATTTAACGATATAATGATATAAAGAAGTAGTTTTTAAAATTATCTATGTTTAACGTTTCTTTAAAAAAGAAGATAATCTTTAAATTTAAAGTTTCAAATCATAATATATATATATATATATATTTTTTAAAAATGTTCTTAAAACATTTTTAATTTTAAAACCATGTTCGACCCTGAATATAGCCAAACTTGACTGTTTTGTGCAAAAGTAAGATCAAAGAATCTATAACAACGTTCTTAGAAAAATAATATAATCACAAAAGACCAACACAAAGAACAAGCATATCTTTTACCAAAAAAAAAGAAGAAGCATATCTTTAGAATAAGAGAGAGAGGCACACTTACGTTAGGGCTGCGTGAGGGAGAAGAGGCAGTGTCTTCAAGATCACAATGACCACCAAAGGGAATGTCTCTGTTTCGTGTTCTCTTAGTTTTGAAGTTGTTAGAAGAATTAGATCCTTCTTGTTTAGAAACCTCAAAGTTCTTCTTAGTCGCCACGAAAGACATTGCATCGGAGACGGAGGAAGAGCTGAACACTCCGACATCGACAACACTTGAAGAAGCCTCGAAGAAATCTTCGAAATACATCGTCCAGCTACTTTCTTCTAGAGTTTGGTCGCTTGAAAAGGACGTCGTTTCATGCTTGCTCGTTATGAACGCTTTGTTCATTGAATTCTCCATGAAAATTTGGATGAGAGAAAGAAAGTCTTTTTTTTTTTTTTTTGTTATTTGGTATAGCGGCAGATGAAACATGCGTGAGGGTTAATTATATATACATATCAGAGGCTTTGATTATATATATTGTTAAGAATAAAGTAGTTTTATAATGATTGAATCAAATATATAAATGCAGTCTTTAGAATTTTATTTTGCTGTCACTGATGGGAATGTTGGTTTGGAATCTTGGTTTGTGGGGCCGCTTTATCTGTTTTCTCTATATTTGGTTGGAATAAAAGTTGGTTTGAAATGTTCAAAGTTCAAACCAATTAAATACACCTACATCTTATTTGTGTAAAATTTTTTGTTTCAAAACAAATGTCATTTTATGATTTCAATATAAAATTTATTAATTTTATATGCTATTCGATTTTTCTATTAACTGATTGTGATTAGGTTAATGATAATTATATTTTTATGTGTAAAAAAATATGTAAAATTAAATATTTTATAATCTATGTGCATAAATTTAAAATGATTAAAATGAAATAGAGGGAATATAACTTAAAGCAAAATAAGCATTTAAGAGCATTATTAAATATTAAATCCAAGAATGATTTATGAAATTGTGTTGTATTACAAAAATGCTAATACTTAACTATCCAAAATGTTACATTAACATGCTAGAATGTTGTTCTGTAATTTTTTGAAGTTCAACCTAATGAGCATATATTTACCAAAAAAAACATAATGAGCATATGATGTATTATACTTAGCAAAATGTGATGGTGTATAAAGAAATCCACAATATATGGTGTACTGGAAAATACTAGATTGAATCATTTGTACAAAATAGTCAAATTTGATTATTCTTAATCGTCTAATAGGATGTATAAGTGCAGCGAGTATGATCGCATTTTATAATTAAAAATGTTATTTTTCAATTTTTAAACCCTTTATCAACAGAAGATTGAATCGTTTGACAGTTTTTTTTTTCAATTTCTTCTAGATGTTTTCTGAGTAATTAAAGAAAATGGATAAATAAATCATTATTTCTTCAACCAGTATGCAATATGTTAATTATATATATTATATACATTTATAAGCACAGATGCGCAGCTCTAGGTTCTAAGTTTTTGGACTTCTATTCTCCGTCGAACTACTCCATGATTACTCTTATCATTTTCATCGAATAATAAATCTAGCTATATTATATATTATGTATGAAGCTATTTACATAGAGGCGTTGGCATTTGTATGTGACGGCTGAAGAAAGATGTGTCACATTTTCCTCCATTATAATAGGTGGAAATGATGTTGTTTAAAATGACATGTAAACTGCTTGTAAGCTCTCTCATGTCAATATATTTAAATCTAACTATATTTGACAAAAACAAATTATATCTGTGAAATATGTATTACACTCTGAACTCTTATAAGATCAGATTCAAATTTTAGAGAATTTTCAACAATAGCACAGGCAAAATTTAGTCCCTCCTTTTCTAAATAAGGAATAGTTTTTGTTCTTTTTTTTTAACGTAAATTTTGCTTGCAGCTTTTCAATGCATTTTTACTAGTTTTATAAATGAATTTATTTCAATATAATTGAATTTATTACATTATAATTGGTTTGGAATTACAGAAATTACACAGTAATATGAAAAAAAACGGATGAACTTCTAACTAGATCTTTTTAATATTTTTTACGCCATGCTGCAGATTTCTTGTAAGCATTTTTTCTCTTTTAATTCACATAATTTTACATTTTCTAGGATTTGAGACCTCCTAATGTAAAAACCTTAATGAACCTTTAGTCAAACCACTGGACGATATTAAATATTTATTGTTAACGTTCTGCAACTATTTAATCTCATATATTGTATAACACTGCTCAAATCAACTACATCAACATATAGTCTTTATTTCTATTATGTGATAATCATTAACTGAAAATATGTGATATTGAAGAACAACTTCACAACAACAATGCTAGGATTTGTCAAAAAAAAAAAAAACAACAATGCTACAATGAAACTCTTACCGTATATTCAAATTGACGAACGGTTATGCTTGTATGGAATCTATGATGTACATGCTTTATGTGTACCAAAGGACTACAATAAATGATTCTATGTGCTTTTTATCTTCTCTAGCGGTGAACGACAAGGCGATGGCAATTTCTTAAGATAAAATCTTCATCGAGATTTCGATCTTCCATTGATTTGATTATCCTTTGATAACAGATCAGCCGATCTTATCTATGTCTCGCTCCTCTCGGTTTCATCAGTTCTGCAGTATTGAAGATCTTAACATCCGATCAATGTAACAAAACATATCATATGGAGATCATGTTGATGGTGTTTCAGATCGATGGTTTCCTTTGAAATCTCGAGCTCCTTCTGATCATCACGTCCATTGACAGTGGTGACTGACTCCGTTTCTCTCTTCATTGAAGGTAGTACATGTCTGATCGTTTTCCTCACCAACACTCATCACTTATCGCGGCGACCGGTGGTTCTTCATCAAGTCAGTGGATATTCCTTCGAATATTCATACAACGCTCCTCCCTTCATCCTAAATCAAGGCGTTTGGATCCTTTGAGTCGGACACGATCATAGCACTGTTTTCTCCAAACACTTTGTTTTAAAAAAACACAAAACATAGCACTCTTCTCATCTCTTTGGATGGGATCTACTGGACTATTCATGTCTGCTCATCAGGCGGACATCAAATGGAAGGCTATTATGATTGACGAGGAGGAGCCGTTCCAACTCAAGGAAGATGAAGACACACAAGTAATTCAAGAGTTTCGAATGTCATTGCTTGGCAAGAGACTTAACCCTAAGAAGCAGAATGTAGAGAAACTGATACAATACATGCCAAAGCAGTGGGGTATGTAGGATCGCATAACAGCGAATGAACTTGGGAATGAAAAGTTTTTCTTCTGAGGACGAGATCAACACTGTCCTCTGACAGGTGCCCTTTCACTACAATTACTGTATGTTTATTCTTGTACGGTGGGAGTCCATAGTTCATGATGATTATCCTTGGACAATTTCATTTTGAGTGCGACTGACTAAAATGCCTTTGCACTTATGGACCGTTAAGAATTTGTGTGGCCTCGGTGGATGCATAGGACGAGTTGATACTCTGGAGTTTGAAGAGGGCTGTATGTTGATCGACATTAACATAAGGAAACCGCTAAAACTCAAGACAATGGTATCCTCACCACAAGGAGATGAAGTAACAATCCAGATTGCTTATGATCTCTTATTTAAGCACTGCACCTCTTGCAGCTTTTTAACTCATGAGAAAGAGTTTTGTCCGATGATCAATGATGTGGCTCGTAGTCAAGCAAAAGGTGGTCGATGTGATGTTTTTTCGCATGTTCATATTCCGCAAGAAAATGCAGTCCATCAACCTTTGTTGAAGGGACAGGGGAATGGTGATAATTATTGCCTTCCCCCTTCTACGGATACTTCTGAGGGAACCTCACGTAGGCGTCTCCATGCTGACGAGTCTTATGCTCGTAAGGCCAATGTTCACTACAGAAACAATGTGTCCAACTATAAACGGCATGACAATAGGAGGGAGCATTATTCTGATATGGCGATGAGAATAAGGGATGAGAGGAGATCAAATCGGTACAACAACGTTCCTTATGCATGACAGTCTGACCTCCAATGACGCGAGAAAACAAGCCGCACTTATGTATCCCTAAACAAGAATAACTCACTGGATCAGGTTGAACAGTCACAGACAATGCACCCTAAGAATATCGAGATGGTTCCTTATGAACAAAAATCGGCAAGTAACAATGCTCAGATGGGGAAGGATCACCAAAAGGATAGCCAACACAGTTAGAAGCATGGGAGTGGGGAGGATCGTTCTACTAAAAGATTGGCGAGTACCATTGTATCTCCAATGATAAGGGAACCTCTTGATGAGAACGTAACGTTTTGTTCCAAGAGTGTGACTCGTTCTCACACGTTCCAAGGTGATATGAATGACTTGGGAAAGGAGCGAGTAATTGGAGCACTAAGTGATATGGAAATAATGGATGCGCATAGTGACATGATGGTAGAGGATTTAAAAGATGATGATCTTTTTTATGAGAACTGAAGGAGTTGAATGGTAAAAAACGCTCATCTAAAGCTATCAGATCCTCTTTTACAGCTGCGGATTCCTAAGAGATACATGAGAACAAGGAGGGGAAACCGAACGAATCCCTCATCGGGGACCCAGTCAAAGAAGACGGAGGACTTTCATCGAGGTTCCCCACGGATGCGATCGATTATATCGAATACGCATAAGCTTCTGGGAGAAAGCAATAAGGCTAAGCGTCTTTGTCACATCACTAAGTCTACACGGGAGAGTTCAACCAAGGATGATGGTCTGATGGGTTCCAAAAATCCATCCCCACATCATTTATGAAGACAATCATTTGGAACTATCGAGGGATTGGGAACAATCTCACAGCTCGACGCCTCACAGAGATGTGTCAGAAGTGTCGCCCAGAAATTGTGTTCCTTTATGAGACAAAGAATAGAAGGCTGATGTTGCAAGACATTCAGGCCAACTTAGGATTTGAACATTTATTTACTATTGAGCCACTTGGACTCAGCGGAGGTTTAGCTTTATTTTTTATGGATGAATTTCAAGCTAATGTTTTATTTTCTAATAACAGAATGATTGACATTGAGGTAGTCATTGATGGAATAAAAGTCTATATGACGTTTATTTATGGGGATCCTGTATTAGAACGAAGAGATTTAGTATGGGCTGGTTAATGATATTGTTGATTGACGTCTTACGCGTTTCTCAACAACAAGAAATGGACCTGGTTAATGATAGGTGAATTTATTGAAATTATCTATCATGAAGAGAAGGAAGGAGGCACACAACACACAGACAGTTCATTCTTACCCTTCAAGCAAATGCTGAGTGATTGTGGTATATTGCATTTTCCTTTTACAGGGAACATGTTATCCTAGGTAGGAAAAAGAGTAGGAAGGACTACAGTTAGACGCCGTCTTGACAGAGCTGTTGGGAATGAGGACTGGCATGA